TCGCATTTCCCGGATTAGAGAGAAGAGGCGAGAAAAGAAACGGGCGAGGAGGAAGAGGCAAGGTGAGTGATTGCAAACAGTAATAGTGTGACATGTCTTGAACTTGAGAGAACTTTCCACACGTTACAGGCCCGAAAAAGAAGCACCTCAGCGAAGCTCAGAGGGAGAAAAGGCGGGCCCACGCAAAGCTCCAATGGAAGCGTAAGAGGCGGGCGGCGGCGGCGGCGGCTGCGGCGGCGGCTGCGGCGGCAGCCGCAACAGCAACAGCAGCACCGCTACCACCACAAGGTAGTACCTTATAAGTGTCTCACACGCTTTGACGGTAAATGATCTAACGAAATGTTACTTTTGTTTAGAAGAAGCGACAATTCAGAGGCGAGCACTGAGGCCACTACCGGCAAGGCGGGCCAAGGAGGTGGCTGCCAAGAGGGGGTTGTTGCCTCCCCCCCCAAGGCGTCAGCAAGCCAGGAAGAAGGTATAACAATCTGCTGTAGATCTTTGTCCGATTGAACATAATATATTTCTTGTCCTCTGTTCATTAGGCTTTGCCAACTCAGCCAGCCAAATAAATCAGCCAGCAATGTGAATTAAATGTAATGACTCAAATTCTCATTTGTTTTCCCCAAAATTCCACGCACCTTCTAAGGGTGATATGTTGGTAAACGAAAAGAAAATTGCAGATGCTACCATTTGTATTTTTCTTTGACATGTGTCCACAAATTAGTCATCAAATTTACAAACATTTCCAAACATCTCTGTAGCTTGATTTATCATCTTATAAATTGGTTCTTAGGCAGTTTAGGTAAGGAAATATCTACAATTACAGAGCAGGTTCAAAAATCAGGTATAATTCTTAATTGCACACAAATCTAATGCGTTTAAAATGGTATCAAATTGTTTACGGAGATATGTGGTACTAGTCGACTGGCTTACCCAAAGTCAAACACTCTGAAACTTGTTTAGCGATTGTGAAATAAGTGAATTTGTAACAAGTTTAATGTTACGCCACACAACTTAATAAAAATGAAGAAAGATAGGTATTTACATCATAAATGAAATAGTTTGAAACAGTTATTGGTTTATGAACCAAAGAGAGCAATTGTTAACAGTTTTCAAGAAATTCATGGACAACTCACATATAGTTAGATGACAATTTCTTTGATAAGAAACCAGTGTTATTCAGCCCCCCTGGTTATAAGTTTATCATTCAGGTTTTCTCAATGTCACGGTTTAAACTTGTTCATAGTCCGATCAACAAGAAAGTCTCTGAAGAATCTGAGAGTGGCAGAGCTAAAAATGTGCTGGTGGCATATTTATCTTACCATCTTGAGCTTGTGGAATTAAAGTCACTACATCAAGTACCACTTTTAAAGGCAGTGTTTTGACCCATAAGAGTTCTCCTGCTGAATCAAAAATTACTTATGCTTATGGTCTATTATTTTCTCACCAAATCTATTTACCTCATCCTGGAAGTCTATGAAGATGTTGAAATGAGAAAAAGACGCCGAAAAGTTCTGGAAGCCAACCTCTCAATTTGGCACCAATAATATCCTGTGTCATGTGCTGCATCTTGTAAGACAGATAAAACAAACATATATTAAAGATGATATTAATGATGAATAAAGTGTGCAATTAGCGTGCCCTTTCAAGTGCTCAGTGCTCAATACAGTATTGACAATACCATTGCACACTTTGAAGTGTTTGACTGGATACTTGTACACAAAATACAGTGTAGCTATGAAACTTTGGGCACTCGAAAGTGTTCAAATTCACTATTCAGCGGAAGCTGCAGTGATAAATTTGTCATTTTGGATAATAATGACCCTTGAGGCATTTAAAACAGTAACTGACTCATACTTGCAACCCATTTACATTTGTGTATGCCACTTACACTTCTTGGTCAGAGGAACACTTTTTTTTTATCCAACTACACATTAAATTCAACAATTTAGTATTGTTGTTACTAATATTCAAACACTCTACTTGCACCTTTTTATTAACCGCTCTAAAAACTTCCTACGCCTTGGGTTTAGAGTTCCGTGCCAGACAGCATAATTAATTTGATCTGTGTGTTCCCCACATCAGTTCTGACAGAATGAAATTCATACCTTTTCCCCTTAAAATCTACTTCAAATAATTAAAATCTACTTCAAATAATAATAACTAAATTTGGTCCATTTTTTTAATATTTTAAAGTATTGTAAAAGAATGTCTATATCAAAAAATAAAATAGAACACAAGTTTAAATATGTGTGCCATCAGAACTTCAGCTCTTTCCTTACTGATTAAGAATTACTTACACCAAACTTTGTCGGAACAAAATTGGTGCGCAGGGAACATATTCGGTAGAACTCTACAAAAAAGAATCATTGGCTTATAGCTTTTGAGATACAGACCTCAACATTGCTTCATTTTAATTTTAGGTCTTTCTGAACAAAAAAAATCAATGCCCCCTACATCATCTACCTGGCCATTATAGAGAAACCATTTTCACTGTAGCCTCCCCTTTAACACTGAAGTATTCAAATTTCCAGTCCAGCACTTAGTGTGTACCATAGAATGAACACTGTACGCCAGTAGCACACTTTCATTTTCAGTCAATCTTAAAGGAAAAATGTTGAAACAAGTTTTAAAACACACCATTTACTTGAAGAGAAAATACTGAAATGATGCTATATTAGGCATATTTAGAGCGAGGCACACAAATAGGAATGACTCACAGGAGACAGTGTGGTGAGTTAGATCATGGCCACTGCAAAGAGAGGTGATGTGGTTGTGGCTGGGTCACCACAAAAGGAGCGGACAGTAGACCTCTTCTTACCTAATTATTACAAAGAAAATTAGTTGGAAACAAAACTCAATCACAACTCAACAGATTCTCACTAAAATTAATAGCTAGAAGAACTTTGCTGTTACAAATACAGTCCCTTGATCATGTGGGAAGGTAATATTAGAAATAAAATGAGGAAGATAAACTATGCATTGTAATAAAATCTTACGGAAGTAAGTAGTGAGAGTAGAATTCCACACTGGGCTTAGCTTATAGGTGTGCAGCTGGTGGACGACGCACTGAAGCTGGTGCTGGTGATGCAGCACAGAATTGAGCCCATGAGAGGCGAGCGACAAGAAGCACAGCCATCATGGGCAACACATGGTCAACAGGACTTCTCCCTTCAAAGATACACACAAGAAAATTGGTATGTTGATACATGTTGAATCACAAGCAATGAAAACAAATAGGAAGGCAGATGTGCCTGACTCTTGCACAAGCAGAAATGCTCTTGTGTGGAGATGCCATGAGTTTTTAAGTATACTTACCGTCTACGGGCTTCTAGTGACGTTTATCGAGGCAGTATTTTCTGTGGGGCAGAATGGCCTGAGAGACGGCGCCCTGGTGCTGGTATGCTGTAGCACTGATGTGCGTGAGGGGCAAGGACGGCAAGGACGGCAACGAGGAGAAGCTGGGCGACAGGAAGACGGTGACAGAAGGGACAGATAGGACTTCCTTCCCCTCGATTCTGGTAGCTACTCGAGCACTGAGGCAAGTAAGGAGACGTTCAAATTACTAACAAATAAATGGTAATGAACCTCGTAAACTGATTGATTTCTACATACCCCATAGATGTAAGTCAAGTTTCACAGCTGACTTTCGAGTCCCTTTTTATATTCATTGATTCCAAATGGGAATGCGTCAGCCATGACCTATCTCCCAGTGTATCCACCACTGCAACAAAATTGTGGAAATACATTAATGTGAGCTCCTCTTCACGCGAAGTTCGCGATAGACATTGTTCCATTTGAACTGATAGCCCCTGTGATTCGTACGATAGGCCAGCCCGCCAAGCAGACGCAACTGTTTGGCGGGCTGGCCTATCGTACACATCACAGGGGCTTCATTGGGGGTCTGGCCCTGGCCTCTCTTTAGTACCTGAGGCACATGCCCAATAGTCTTGCATGAGGTGGCAAGGCTGAAAAGGCGCCGTACGTTCACGCGGCCCCCGCCGCCTCGCGGCTTTTAAATGGTTTGGAAGGGCCAGGGAGCAAAGCTCGGTGCCTAGATCATGCCTAGAAAAGTCCTCTCCGCCATGACTAGCAGAAAAAAGAAAACATAAAAAGTTAACTACAAATAATTGAAAGTCTTACCTGTGGTCAATACGATAGCTGCAATTGGAAGCAGGCCATGGATTGAGTACTCTGTCTTCCTGTGTGTCTGAGCGTAGGAATCAGCCAATGAAGTAAATCCTGGGAACAAAAAGATATTCATCAAAACACTAAAACAAAATGACGGTTTTAAATTTGTTTCAGAATTGGACTACTGTGGCAGATGAAAATGAACCACACAATGCATACTCACCTATTTTCTGGCTACACTTCAACCTATTCAATTGCTCACGTTCAAAAATGATTCCTTTAGTGCCGAATGTTTCCCACGACATTGCTGAAAAATTTAAAACACTCGGATTCAAAAGGCAGCCTTCTGAAACAACAATGGCAAAAGGACAGGGGTGAAAACAAACCCTATTACCACACATGCATTAAATGTTGTCATTGCACTCACTCACTAATACAGCAAATATTTCACTGGCTGCCTTACAAGCAATTGTGATTGTTATTCCAGGAAAGTTTGATAATGAACTCCCTACTGACAGATCCTTGACATCTTCACCTGCAACAAACGGCATGCTATTTCAGTAAGGTTAACTATACACTTCACCAACAGACATTCTTCTGTTCACTAAAGATGATCATAGAAACAAATATGTCGACACATAGCGACTTTTATATTTTGTTGCCTTAAATATGTCGCCCACTAAATTTATTAAAATTATATTTAAATAAGTAATATGAACCTCATTTAAGATAGTTTATATTTTCCGATAGCAAAAGACACTTTACTTTCTTTAGTTTAGATTAGATTAGATTATCTGCATCCTAGGGGCCACAAGCTCAGATTGGTAATCGCGGTATTTTTTGCCAAGGTCTATGGGTCTAAGTTACTGTCCTCGAAAGGGAGCTCCAGTTCCTCCCCTTTCCAGTTGGAACCGTCAGAGTCCGAGCGGTCATTCGATGAGACATCGTCCTGCAGCGCCTGCTGGAGGTGCCCCGCCAGAACCTGTTTGTCCTGGGCCAGGGCCTCCCAGCCGTCGGCCGGGGGCGCTAGCCGCCCGAGGTCCTGGTGGTGGGAGTTCAGTATCGTGTGGCAGGGCCTGACCTGCTTCTGCCGCGGGCCGCGGGAACAGGGCAAAGGCTAGGACCCGCTGGAGAGGGCCGGCCGGGTCTAACCGTCGGATGTGAGCCCAGTACCGGATCCGCGACCCATGGATCGCCCTGGTGACGGACGAGAAGGTCTTGTCGACGCCGTGCAGACGCAGGGGATGAAAGGAAAAACGTCCCACCGCCCGGCGGGCGTGGATCAGCAGTGCCCCTAACATGACCGCCGCCTGGCGCCAGAGGGTAGGCCTGGAGGCAATGATGGTTGCTCACGTGGCCTGTGCGTACGAGATGGGAGGGAGGATACAGGACTTGAATATCCGGATTACCACCGAGCGGGAGAGGAAGTGGAGCCGCAGGGTGGCGCCGAGGGCGGCGACTGCGCG